GCACGACTGGCGACCGCGAAGCCAGCAGTGCTGCCCCGACACATACCGGTCTGGCCAGTGCGCGAAGCTGCCGCATGCGGCCTTCCAGAGGCCGAGCGCGCGGCGATTGTTGGACGGTCACGTCGTTTCGGTTTATCGGGACGCGCCGGGATATCAAAAAAAAGGAGATAATCGGATACCGAAGCGCCCCGGCTTTCGACGAAATGCGCGCCTCTCTACTCCGCCTTCTTACCGGACTCACACTCGCAGAGGGCGGTCCCACTCCTCTCGCGGGCGACGCCTCCGGATCGGACTCGGTGAAGTCCTGCATCGACCTCGACAGGCACTCGATAAAGGCGGCGCTCTCGACGACGCCCGGCTTTGAGACGGCGGCCTTTTGCACCTCCCAAGCGTGCGGCGCCTGCCGCGCGTTTGGCGTCCCGACGGGCGTCCAGCGCAAGATATTCAACCGCGGCTGCTCCGGCGGGCCCTTCAACCGCGGCTGCTCCGGCGGGCCGCACAAGACCTCTTCCGCCTTCTACAGCTGCCGCAGCGGCGACTGCGGCGGCGGCGACTGCGCCGAGGAGATGATGAGCGTCGAAGTCGCCGGCGCCGGCGCGGCCGTCTCGAGCGGGCGGCATGGGACGAACGCTCCCGCGCCCGTCGGCGACGACGCGTGCGCGGAGGCGTTCAACGAGGAGAAGTGCGTCATGAACGCCTGCTCTGGGCACGCGCATGCAGCCTGCAACACGCTGGGCGTCGCGAACACCTCTAATAACAAGTGGAGCGACTTTTCGCTCGAGGGAGGCGCGGCGCGCGCCGGATTGCTCGAAGGCCCCCTCCGCAAGTGGTGGTGGTGCTGCGCCTCTACGGCGGTGCTGCTTCTCCAAGCGTGCGGCGCCTGCTGGCTGCTGCTGGGGCAGCGGGCGCCGCGCTCCGGTGCAGCCTCGGGGCAGCGAGCCAGCAAGGCGGTCCGTCCCCGGCTGAGCAAGAGTCGCGGCTCGGTGGCCTTCCTGCTGCTGCTCTCCGCCCTCCCCGTGGCTCGGGCTGGCTCGCCGCCGCCGCCGCCGCCCTCGCCCTCGCCACCCTGGTACACCGAGGACGCCGCCATGCAAGCTCCCCCCTCGCCACCATGGCCGCCGCCGCCGCCGCCCTCGCCACCCTCGCCGTCATGGTACACCGAGGACGGAGCTTGCATCTGCAACATGAACTGGGTGGGCGATTGCACCGCCCTTGCCTTGGAGGGCGGCGGCCAGTGCAGCGCCGCGGACCCCTGCTTGGCAAACGACCAGGCGTCCTGCCCCATCGGCTGCCGGTGGGAGACGCTCAGCTACATGGAGCAGTGGTGCTCGCGTAGCCCGGCTTCCCCCCCACCACCTATGTCGTGCCACGAGCCGTTTCCGCCAAGCTCGTATCGTCCCGCCAAGCCGTATCTCCCGCCAAGCTCGTGCTCCGTGACCGATCTCTCGTGCGTCGCCAACCTCACGCTGCCGCCGGGCGGTGTTTACGGCCTCTCCTGGGATCTGAAGACCACGTTTGCGCTCGGCGCGACGCCGTGCACCCCGGCGACGGATCAGGCTGACCTTCCATGCGTGAGCTTAGATTTCGACGGGCTGGGCTTTCGTGACGCGTGCACCCTCTGGGTGTCCCCTGGCTGCGCACCCGGCGAGTACGAATCGGAGTATGACGGCGTCGCGTGCGCTATACGTCCCGGCGCATCCTTCTCACTCGACGACCGGTCGGTGCAATCGCCGGGCGACCCGCGCGTCCCAGCGCACCCGTCCGTCGCGGGTGAGTGGATCGTTGGAGACGAAACAGATCATCGGGGCACCGGATTCTGGGTGTTTCGGGCGGACGGACAGCCGCACGGCATCGAATACGACGCCATCGGACACCCCTCCAGCGAAGTTGTTGGCCGCGCCAACTGCCTCCTTCTCTCTCAAGCGAGTACTAGCGGCGCGGCCTCTATCTCGGGTGGCGGGTACGGATATCCGTCGTGCCCTGCAACGTCGCCCGCCGTTGTCGGCGCGATCGCGGGCGGCGCGGCGGCGGTGACCGTGCTCGTGGCGCTCCTCGCGCTGTGGTGGCGCCGCCGCTTGGCGGGGAGGCGTCAGGCGAAATATCCGGCGGCGGCGCGGGAGGCGAGGCAGGCGGCGGCGGCGGAGCGGGCGAGGGCCGTGACGGAGGCGCGCGAGGCGCGCGCGGCGGCCGAGGCGCGCGCGGCGGAGGCGCGCGCGGCGGCGGCGGCCGAGGCGCGCGCGGCGGCCGAGGCGCGCGCGGCGGCGGCGGCCGAGGCGCGCGCGGCGGCCGAGGAGGCGCGCGCGGCGGCGGAGGCGCGCGCGGCAGAGGCGCGCTCGGCGGCAGAGGCGCGCGCGGCGGCAGAGGCGGCGGCCATTCCGATTGCTACGCCCATTCAAGGCTGGCGGCCTCCGAGCTATAGCCAGTCGCAAGTCTCCTCCACCGCCATGCCGATCGTTCGCGGCGAGCCTGTCGAGGACGGCGAGATCGTGCCGAGCTCGAACCTTGTAGCAGAGTTGCAGAGCCTCGCCGCGCTCCACCGCTCCGGCGCTCTCTCCGACGCCGAGTTTTTGGCGGCAAAGGCGCGCATCTTAGGAGGGTCTGAGGCTCAAGGGTCTGAGACTCTGGTCTGAGACTCTGGCACTCGGTCACGGCCATGAGCCTTCTAAGATCGGGTCAGGCACCCGCCCGACAGGAAACGAAAATCCACCTTTTCAGGGGGTCTCGGGCGCGGGGTCGGCGGGGCAGAGCCCCGCGGAGAAAAGTTGCTATTCATTTCATACAGGCAACATGAACATCCCCCAACCGTGGTTTCTCATCGTGTATCTAGATTCTAGCTAACACCCACACGACTACCGACTAGCGACTACGGCTTTACCAGTCTACTACTACGACTGGCGTCTACTTAGTCCCTCAGAACGGGAAGGCTCCGGCTCAGGTCAGAGGGCCCAGCGACTCGTCGGTTGGGTGTAAACGGGCATCCCCGAGTGGCTTCAAACCAAACAGGGTGTGAATAGAGCTGTCTTGATGGTGCTGAGGACGAAGCCACCTCAAACTTTGATGAAGCCGCGAGTTTTTATAGGTTTCATTAGCTGTGAATAGTTATGCGCCCGCCGCAGCCCGCCCTATTCCACTGGGCACGCGCCACGGGCCACGAGAGCCCTGGAAGAGCCCAGCTGGCATGTTCTATCGCCCGGGTGGCGGGCTGTCTGCATACAGACGTCTCGTCGCCATGGCTGACGCACGACTGGTCCGACGTGCGGTGGGATTTTGATCTCAGACAGGCCGTCGGTGTCGGCGGGCTGACGGCGGCCGCCGGAATCGCGAATCGCTCTGCCAGCTGCCAGCAGCCTCGTGTCGCGGCTCTCACAGGTGCAGCGGTGGTGATTGGTCTTTGCGCCGTCGCTCGACGGCGTCACTGCCCATCCGACCTGCGCAGCTCCTGCAGCTCCTGCAGCTCCTGCTGTCAGTCTTCTGCTCTCACTCGCCGCGCGCGGATTGTGCGCCGCGCCAAGCAGGACACATGCTCATGCAAACAGTGCGAGAACTTGGTTGCGCCGCTTAGTGGCGGCGCTGCTTTAGAGGAAGCGGCAGCGCGGGAAGCACAGCAGATGGAGGCGGCGCGGCATGCCAAGGAGCTGCAATCGCAGTACTGGGGGCGGCAGCGCCAGCAACGAGCAAGGAGAGACTGGCGGAGGTTGAGCGGCAGCAAGAATGTGTGGGCGATACGGGCGCCGCTAGGCTCAACGAGGAGATGCTGTGCAGTTAGAGAGCTCGTAGCGAGCTCGATTTTGATGAGAATTTAGATGAGAAATCCCAAACACATCTCTTAGAATTTGAGCAAAAAACGCCAAAAAATCGGCGCCTGCGGCGGGCCAGCCTCCGGCGGCGCCTGCGGCGGGCAGCTGGGGCTTCCTCCCCAGACCCCGTTTACACCCGAGCTATGCCCCACGACCTGAGCCAGAGCCGAACGGGAGCACAAACGCGCCGCCCGCGGCGTTCTCGCGCTCCGCCATTCGCTCCGCCAGGCCGGGGACATCAGCCCTTCGAGTTCGCCGGCGAACTGGCGAACTGGTTCGTGAACTGGTTCGGTGAACTCGCGGTTCGTTCGGTTTCGGAGTTCGCTCTGGACGGCATCCCCTTGGTTCGCTGCATCGGTTCGGTCGTTCGCCCTTGGGTGCCCGAACCCTCGAACTAGTTCGTGAACTCGAGCCTTTTCTTTTCTCCTCCCCCCCCCCGACCCGCTTCACACCCGCAGGCCGAGGAAACCAGGGAAGTTCGTCTGAACTGCGAACGAACCGCGAACGAACCGCAATATGTATTTTTTGGCTCTGCAGGCCTGTATAGTCCCTGGTTGCCTACTAGAGGCCTAGTATGCCTGGACGCCTCGGGGAGCCCCCGTCTCCCCCATTCTATTCGCCAGTCAGCACGCACGGCGCCCAGGCACCACAGGGCGGCCCTGCTCACAGCGCAGCCGGCACCATCGGGACCCTGTCCTCTTCAGTGGTCCGCGGCGGGCGGCGGCGCACCGGGGTAGTCGCGCCCGTAGTCCGCTAGATTGCAGACTGTCGCGGACCGTCAGAACTGTGCTAGTGCCGCCTGTGTATATGGGCACCTGAGATTGAGGGCCAGACCGCGTCCGCACGCGCGCACGTGGCGCAGTTGCGCGAGTTCGTTCGTTCAGCGCGGCTCGTGGCTGAACTGCACGCCGAACGAACGAACTTTTGACGCCGATTTTCTTTTTTTCCTAAGTTCGAACGGAGTTCACGAACGTTCGTTCGTTTTCGCAGTTCGCGCCTTCCACAGCCGGCGCGGTCCGTTCAGTTTCGAGGTTCGGGCTGGGCCCCGCCGGCTGCGTTCGTTCGAGTTCGGAGTTCGCGAAATCCGCGCGAACTCGAAGGGCTGGGGGACGTTCGGAAAATTCTTTTTTTGTAAAACACGCCAATACCTGGGTACCCGGTACCCGCCGGGCGTTCTACGGCGAGCCACTCTGCATGGCAGCAATGGAGGCCAACAAATCCTTGGACGAGATCATAAAGGAAAAGTCGAAGTCCAAGGCCGGCAGCAGCGGCAAGAACGAGCTCACGGCCGATGTCGCAAAGCGCAGCAAGGCGCAGCGCGCAGCCAAGGCTGCCAAGGCGCGAGGCATGGACGTCGACGCGCCGGCTGCGCCGATTGTGAAGCCCCGCAAGAAGGGCGGGGCCTCGGGCGCCAAGGCCAAGATCGGCGCCAAGCGGGTCGGAAAAGCCGCCGGCGCGAAGACTGCGGCAGGTGGCTCCAAACAGGGCAGGTCGCTCCAACAGCAGATGGGGAAGGCCAAGGGCACGAGTAGCAAGCCAGTCGCGGCGTCACAGATCAAAATTGTGATCCCCGGGACGACGAGCCCGGCAAAGCTGCTGCCTGGTGGCCGCGGACGCGGCGGCGGCGGCGGCGGCGGCGGCGGCCGTGGCAAGGGAGGCGTTCGTGGCGACGGCGGCAAGGGCGCGCGCGGCGGTGGCGGCAAGGGCGCGCGCGGCGGCAAAGGTGGCGGCGGCAAAGGTGGCGCGCGCGGCGGCGGCGGGCAGGCGGGCACCCGTGGCATTGGCAAGCAGCGCGTCGTGATCGTGGCGGGCGGGCGGTCTGGTGGCGGCGGCGGGACGGCAAAGAAGACGAGGAAGGGAGGTGGCGGCGCCCCGACAAGTCTGTCGGCACGCTTCGGCGCGTGAGGAGGAGCAGGCCACACAGACGCGGCCTCGCGATAGCAACGCCGATGGCGTGTGGCGCGGGAGAGTAGTGGGTGCTGCCAGTGTAGCGCGCTACACACACACACACACGGCAAGTTCACCATATATGTGCATGTATCTTGGACCATTGAAGTCTTGTGGAGTTCGGACCGTCACAAGTGTCAAACTCACTCTCACATCTCCTTCCTGCGCTACATAATCTTGACTCGCTTTTGGGTTTGACATCTGGAGCCGCCCAGGTCAGAGAGACACGCGGGAATAATGCTTACGGGGTTCCCTCTAAAGCCGTACGGCTCTATCGCGTAAAGTATCGGCGCGCGCGGAGCCGCGAGTCCGCCACACACCGCGACCGGAGACGAGACACCGCGCACGCGCACGCCCAGATGCCCGTAATTACTTATTAAATTCGGGGGGTTTCTCGGTGCGCAATGTGACCCACGCCGAGCTGGCACGTACTCGATGGCCCCCACATGCAATAGATAAACAATCACACAGACCGCCGCGATGGCCCCGAAACCCGATGCGAGCAGCACACACGGGCGGGCGGGGATGCGGCCACACGGGCGGTGAAGTGCGTGCACAATGCAGAGATGCGGCATGCGAGAGAGGCTGGGCGTCGATAGTTCCGGCCCAACACAGACAGATGAGGCGGCGGGCGAGGAACCGTCGCAGGCCGGGCTGCCGCCGCTGCTGCTGAGGTGCTGAGCTGCTGCCGCCACTGCTGCCGCGGCTGCTACTGCGGCTGCTGCCGCGGCGGCGGCAACGGCGGCGGCAGCGCTGTTGCTGCTGCGGCGGCGGCTCGCGCGGCGCTTAGGCGCTCTTCTTCTTCTGTGGGAGGATGTCGTCTGCGACGGCGTAGAGGAAAGTGCCTACACGGTGAGTGCACGAGGTCAAACACGGCGGAACACGTGTCCTCTCAAGCGCTAGCTGGAATACAAGACTCGTCTCTCCCGCTTCTAGAGGAAAGTGCCCCCGATGGCGATGCTGCAGCCGGCCATCTTGGAAGGGGACATCGACTCGCCTAGAGGGCACGGGGGGAGGGGAGGGGGTGGCCGGGAACGCCGTGGAGCGGCGTCGTCGATCTCCACCGAGCTCCGCCGAGCTCCGCCGAGCTTTGACGAGCTCCGCCGAGATCCGCCGAGATCCGCCGAGATCCGCCGAGATCCGCCGAGATCCGCCGATAAGTTCAGCCGGGCCGCGCCGAATGCGATTGCGCAGCCGACGATGATGATGGCGCGCTTTGCCGTGTTTGCGACCGAGTGGGTCACGCCCGAGATCTTGCCTAGAAAAGTCGGAGAAGAGTCCGAGATCTTGCCTCGAAAGGAGTGGGTCACGCCCGAGCTCTTGCCTATGGCCCAGGAGTCCGACCTGATTCGCCCGCCCTCTTGCGGGCGACCTCCCGAGATCTCGGCTGTATCTCGGCTGCATCTCGGCTAGGCGTCGCCGAGCGCGAGCGTAGACACCTGGTGAGGCACAAGCAGGGGACGGCTGAGGAGGACGAGGCGGTGAGCCCCTCTGCGGCGAGGGTGAGCAGTTTGGCTGGGTGGTGGAGAGTATGCCGGCTGCTGTGCCAGAGCCCGTTCTCAACAGCTGCAACAGCGTCTCGAGCTCTTCTTCCGAGAGCTACGTACGTATGCGGTGCGGAGCGTGGAGCCCGGCAGGGGAGCGTCGCTGGGTGCTGGGTGCTGGGGTGCTAGGTGCTGGGTGCTGTGTGCTGTGTGCTGGGTGCTGTGTGCAAGGTGCTGGGTGTTGGCTGCTGGCTGCTGGCTGCTGGGTGCTGGGGTGCTGAGTGCTGGCTCCGTCCCGTGTCCGCACTCTGCCACACATGCCGCTCAGCACGTGTGCCCCACTGAGCCTTCGGGGGGAGGCCCACCTCTGGATTCGGGGGCTGGGTCGAGGGCAGCCACACCCTGTGGCGAGTGCCCCGTGATCCTTGCGATGCGAGTGCTGGTGAAGGCGCGGCGGCCGAGGGTGGCGGCCCGAGGGGCGCACCTCGTTGTAGAGGTAGAAGGTGAGGCCAGACATGATGAGGTTGAAGCGGAAGCCGGTGTGGCCTGTCACGCGAGAGACAGCTGACGGGCCCGAAAGAGGACGGCGGCATCTCTCGGCGGCATCTCTCGGCTGCATCTCTCGGCGATCTATCTCTCGGCGATCTATCTCTCGGCGATCTCTCGGCGATCTGTCGGCGATCTGTCGGCGATCTCTCGGCGATCTCTCGGCGATCTGTCTCTCGGCGATCTGTCGGCGATCTCTCGGCGATCTCTCGGCGATCTCTCGGCTATGTCTCGCCGCCGGCGCAGCAAGCCGCACGCTCGACATATCTCGGCCATATCTCGGCCATATCTCGGCCATATCTCGGCCATATCTCGGCTATATCTCGGCAATCTCTCGTAGGCGCCGGGGAGGCCGTCGTCCTCCCAGACCTGACCAAAAAAGACAGCCGCAGTCAGGCGGTGCGCGCGGTTCGTCTTCGTTTCAGGCCGCCGTCCGCGACCTTGAGGAAGGCGTCCATCTTTTGCCACTCGCCCGTGATGAAGACGGTCGGGATCAGCAGCAGCGTCGACCACAGAGTCCCGATCGCGTAGGCGTTTGCGCCGCCGCCGATCGCTGCCTTCATGTCGCCCGCCATCGCCTTCTTGTTCTCCTGCCCGCGGAAGGCGGCGGCGACGTTGGCGCCGCCGGCGGCGGCGAGGCAGGCCCACGTGAAGTCGAGCTCGGACGCCGACGCGATGCAGATCCCGCCGATGACTGGCACGAGCATCAGCAGCTTTGCGCGTGAGACCGAGCTGCCGTACACCGCATAGCCAATCGCGGCGGCGAAGGCGGGCTCGGCGGCCTTGATGACCTGCGCGAAGGAGACGGCGCCGGCGGAGAGCGAGAAGACGGCGCCGGCGTGCGCCGCCGCCGTGAAGAAGCCGACCGGAGCCAGCTTCATCACCTGCGTGAAGGTGATCGCCGGTGCCTTGCGGGCCTCTGGCAGGATCCACCTGAGCGCGAGGGCCGGAGGCGCGGCGCGCCGGTGGGCCCCACGCCGGAGAGGCCTCGACGTGGCCAACTCGCGGAGCCGCACGACAGGGCAGGGCCGGGAGCCGGGAGGCACACGCACAGCGCGAGAGCGTAGACTGCGCCGACCGCCATCTGGATCCAAGCCATGATCATGGCATACTCGGAGCCACCACCGGCCTTGGCGGCGGTCTTGTTGAAGATGTTGTAGTAGTAGTTGCCGAGGTACCACGCCGTGAGGTAGACTATCAACCCGACGTCAACCATGGCGAGAGATGCGAAGTCGGCTCAGAGTTGGATATCTCACAGCTTCCACCAGAAAAAGAATTTCACCACTCGGGCGCACGATTCACACGACAGAAAAAGAATCTTCAGAGATAACCATTCAAGATTTATATTCACCGTGTACCTGTGTCAGCTGTTACTGTTAGTGCCAGTGCGAGCCAGTCCCGTGCCCAGTTTTGTGCGAGGGATTTTTGTTGTGAAATTCTTGCCCTGTGTACATCTCAGACATAATCACTCAAGGAGCGACATGGTGACATGCGACATCAGTGTCCGCGAACAATCATGCGAAATGCGCACGTACGTGGAACACACACCATGGAACACACCACAGCCGACGTACAACGGGCGACGCTCACGCGGGCGGGCTGGCAGATGGCGGGGCGGCCCACAACGCGGCCGCCCCCTGCCGGCGCTGCCCGGGCGGCATCTCGCCCACCCGCCGCGCCGCCTGCGTTAGCTCGTCGCAAGCCCGCTCTCGCGCCCGCCCGCCCGCGTCCCTCCACGCGTCGTCTTTCGACGGCGGTTGCGCAGCAGCCGGCAAGCTCGCGAGCGGCGATCCCAACACCCGCGCGCCCATCGCGAGCAGCGGCGAATGTTTGAGGTGCCCTCGGGGTGCGAAGCGCTGTGCTTCATAGCGCCCTCGTGCCAGTAGTCTCTCAGCCCCGGAGAGAACGCACCCCTCGACCGACGCCGCCTCGACCCCCAATTGCTCCAGCTTCGCCACCACGCCTAAAGCTTGGTCTCTCGTGGGTGGCGTCGTCTACTCCTACACTCGCACGCGTGCTCGGGTGCAGCCACTTGCGTCAGCCGCGAGCCTCTTTGCGACGCTCACAGCGGTGGCCACCGCCGTCGCGTCCGCGACGAGGCCAGCCTGCTCGCTCTCGCTGAGCGGCTGTGCGACCTGCGGACAAACGCGGGTCATAGTGAGCGATTGTTGCGAGTCCTAAAGGACGGACTCTGGGTGCGCACCACGACGCCCGCAACCTTGTCCTGCCTGAGGACCTGATCCTCACTCACCGATATGTAGAACAGCTGTGCCGGCAGCTCGCACAGCGCCGCGTGGGCTCCGGCGTCGGCAGGCTGCGCGATGGAGTAGAGCGGGAAGACCGGTTCTGCGGACGCGGTGTTGAGGAGAAGCTCGGTGGCGTTGACACCAGACGCCTCGAGCCTACAGAAGGTAAATGGGCACCTTAGACGCGAGAGTTGCCAAGGGAGCAAACCGCACATGCACCAAGCATCTCGGAAGCTCTGTGCCCCGCCGGCGTCGCGGAAGCAGATGGTGATTGGCTCAGTGCCCTCGCCGAGCGCGAGCGAGAGGCACTTGCCCGCGTAACTCGTCCTGGCAAGAGCGCCCGCCGGCAGCCCGTGCATCCAGTGATCCAGCCACCGCGACCCCTCAAAGGCCGACCGGCCGAGCACGTTGTCGCCCAGCTCTGTCATGTAGAGCTCGAGATGCTGCATTGGGAGCCTAAGGGACAAGGCTGGTTGTCACAACATGACGTGGCAAACGCGAGCAGCGCTCGCCGGATGTGCCCGTCCATCAGGAGCAGGTAGGCGAGCACCTCGAGGACCTCAAACGCCTCGGCGAATTTGGTCGCCCCGATGTTGCGCAGCGGGTCGGTGCGCTCCGCGGCGCCCATGCACGCCAAAAACACGCGCACGCAAGGCAGCCCCAAAACTTGATTCGAATGGCGTTTGTTGTAGAGATTTCACGTGGTCGAGCGCCTTTACATCGCTATGCGGCGACTCACAGCTCCCTCGCACTAGAAAAAGACGACCGCGAGGTGGCATGAAGGTTGCAGCGAGAAGCGGCGAGAGACTGCGAAGAGAGATAGGAAGAGGCAGACGCCCAAGGGTGGGCGACGGCTAGCGCACCACACTCCTCTCCTTAAAATCCCTGTGTGGTGGCGGCGTGCCGTCCTCCCATCCCTCCCTTGGGTTGTCTGTTTTCTTTCTTTCTTTAGGTAGGTAGGTAGGTGTTACCTCACACTGTCTAGGCAGAGACAAGGAGGGCCCCCGCACACACGAACCCACACATACCGTACAGAGAGGGACGAGTGCACGCATTGGGCATCAGAGAGCCATAAGTGTCTGTTGCTGTTTGGCTTGAGCCAAGCAGGCACACCCGCGCGCGAGTGATTAGGCCAGGCCCGAAGCCTGACTCAAGCCAAGGTGGAGCACAGGGACAGGGACACTGTACTCACGTACTGACATCCCGCCCCGCGCCAGGGGCGGTGGCGCGCGCCGCGCCGGGACACTTTGGACCCGCAGCCTGGCATACGCCAGGCCACAGATCCGCCGGCAGAGCCTTATTTCTGCATCCGCGATCCGCGCCGGCTCTCAGGAGAGATCCGGCGCGGTGCTGACCGCGTCCTGGTGTCTGGAGGGAAACGGTGCAGCTGCGGCATGTCGCAGTGCGGCATGCCGCAGTGCGTCACGCGGCGCTCCTGCAGCAGCGCGCGCGCGGTGGTGAGGAGGGAGCAAGCCCTTGAGCTGTTGGCGTAGTCCATCGCCCGCGCACGCGCGCCGGCCTTGAGGTGGTTCCACCAACAACTGGCCCAGGGGTTGAGACCCTGCGGCGTTCACGCACGGACCCGCCTCGGTATGCGTATGGCTAACCTGTTGGCGAGCGGTGCCTATTGGCGCTGCGACCGCGACTGCCAGGAACGTGCAGAACACGCTCGCAAGCAGACCGTATGGCAAGGCCGGCACCGTGGCTGTGCGCTCAGCGAAGAGGACAGCCACCCTTTGAAGACGAGATGTCAGATGAAGACGCTGTCACTGTTCGCCTAACCCTTATTCAATTCCCGGGAAAAAATGCGCTTAGTTTCGATCCGCTCACAACTCAATTCTATCGACGATGGCAAAAGCAGCACAGCCTCCGGTAGCAGAGTCTGCATCACACACTGCGGAGCGCGTGGGGCCGGGAGCGGGTGCGGTGGGGCAAAACTCAGTCGCTCTACTAAGTAGGCATCGGGTTTTCGGGTTGCCACGTTACTAGCTCCGAGTAGAGGGGGCGTTCCGCCGCTAGGGGACACCCAAAGCGCAGAACTAACCCTCGGAGAACCGTGTTTACTTTATGGCCCTTTCCCTGCGAACGCGCACCCCCGCCCCTAGCTAGGGGTCAGGGCTCATATCTTGCCCCCGCAACCCGATGCCTATCATCCGGCCCGCTGGGTGCGCTTCTTAGCTCCCCGGCCCTGGATGTGCGATTAATGACTGCACTCCAAGTGCTCCAAGATGGGGTGTTATTCAATTCCCGGGAAAAAATATGCGCTTAAAGATCGGCGCAAGACACGGTCGCGATGCCTCGTGTGAACGCTTTGAAGAGTGACTTCTCGAAGTCACTCGGTCCTACGGAGAGACACTGGGCGGGGCGGTGGGCGTGCGGGCGCGGCGTGCGGTGGGTGTGTGAAACACTGTGTGTGGGGAGGGCGGCGGGGGCGGGGAGGGTTCTGGGGACCACGGAGAGGGAGGAGGGGGGGCGGAGGGGGGTAGTGAGGGAAGGGGCGGACGGGGGGGAGGGGGGAAGGAAGGAGTTGGTGGCGGCGAAGAGACACTGGGCGGGGCGGTGGGCGTGCGGGCGCGGCGTGCGGTGGGTGTGTGAAACACTGTGTGTG